GATCCGCGGGCCCCGAAAATGGGTCTACGTAGCTAGTCTCGGTGGGGCCGGTCGCATATGGTGGCGCAGACACGTATAAAGCGCTCCAGCGGTAATAGCCAGGTGTTTCAAAGGTGAGGCGATGGGGCGCCCCTCGAGGCGGCACAACAAAAAAATAAACCAGCTTCCTTCCGATGGGGCTACCTTCCAACAGGGCGGCCGCCACCCGGTACACACGTACACAGGTCCTCTGTGCGCGTCGTAATAATTATACAGATTTATTCGAACGGGCTCGGATCGCAACGGGTTAACTGCGGGCGCGCGCGCGAACTGGTCGACAGTTCCGGGGAATCGTAACGTCGCCCATCGGATATCTCGCCAAGGGTCGAAGAGTCACACCTTTCATTTCCTCAGCTGTAACGTGTAATTTACCACTTTGAGTGGGAAAACAAGAATCGTACGAGAAACCGGCCATAAACGGCTGTCTATAAGTATATACCCGGGGAACGTATCTATCTTCGAAGTCGCAGCTAATTCCCCCCTTAGAATTGTTCACGGCCGTGGCTCATTCTCATTGATTGTATTACGTTGCAAACCAGAAGGAACCAGAAGAAGATTCGACGCGAGATCGGCGTTAAGTCTAAACGTGAGTAAAATTTACCTGCACACAGGCCAATCTTGTAAATGTTATCGTTTATAAATATATGAATTGCGTTTTTTTTATTATAACGTGTCAACTTATTGAGTCGCAAAAATATCAACAGAATCATATTTCTTCACGAGAAATACTATCCTGATAACAAAACATTAAATTTCAATAATTTCTCCTGAGTAAAAGAAGATACGCAGATGCAAATTTATATACACAGAGAAAAAATTAAGATTAAATACCATAGCCTCTTAGAAATAATCGAAAGCTACAGAATTTCACACGGAGAGCACCGTCGACACATAATTGCAACGTGTAATTCGCGACTTTATTAGAACCGACGTTACACCACCGATCGCAACCTGTCTGCCGCGATATTTGTCTTTCTGTTCACGACAGGGCGGAAATGGTTCGGCATTGCGGCGCAACAGCATAACCGACGAATGCCCGTGGCTTCCAGTGGGACCTGCTTCCATTTACGCGCGCACAAAGAATCTTCGCAGCAACCTGCGCGAACGCGCGATTACCCGTAGTATCGGCGTGAAGGGCGCCGAATTGTTCCCTCGTCGGGATTCACACGCACGGGACATACTTCGTCGGCAAACAAAGCTGGGGTAACTTAGCGCGCCTAGTATTCCGTATAATTTATCCTCCGCATAACGAAGGAAGGAAAGAAGAAAGAAGCGGAATTCTTTGCCGGAACCGCCAGTAGCGCTACCGGAATAACCGGATGACATGCAGGTCCTCGGTTCCTATCCACGCTCATGCTCTCTTTCTCCCTTTCCTCCCAAGTTCACCAGTCTCCGTCTATTACGGCGATTTACGGCGTACGGGCAAGGGTTCTGCAGAGACAGATAATCGTATGGAAGAGCACGTCTTTGTGCACAGGTAGATGATTCGTCGACGAGAACGGTGCACGATTCATTCCCGGCGTCTCTCCCGATGCACGTTCAAACGCAGGCGACAATCGTCGGGTGTGTAAACTCTGCTGCGTAAACCGTCACGCTAAGAAAACGCCCATCGACCCTTTCCTGCTGTGCGCACGAGAGAGCGGGAGAAAAAGAGAGAGCGAACGAGCGAGCGCGCGCGCGCGAAAGAGAGAGA